TGGATTTACACAGTGATTTTATCAACGGTCTTGATAATATCAGAGATCTTGATGATAACACATGATACAACAAAGTTCAAATTTGTTTTTCAAAGGGTTAAAAATGAGTCAAAGTTTACTTGATGGCACCTAACAACAGCAATTTTAAAAATAAGAAGTAGATGTAAAAATAGTCTTTTTATTGAAGAAAAGATCAATTCTTACCTTTATTCCTAAGTTTAATAACAAGTGAATTATCACTGAAAATATTCCCTAACTTGACCAAGGTCTTGGTTGGCAATAAAGATCAAAATGATACAACTGCCAAGTTAAAAAAAAGAAAGTAATTTTCTTCTAATGAGGAATTGCCCTGTGCACACCCATTAGCTCTGGAAAAATGTGAGGCAATCAAGGACAAAAGAAGAAATGTTGGAGCTGGGAGAAAAAAAAAAAGAAATATATCATTCTAAAGAAAACATTCAATCACACAAATTTCTTTTAAGTTTTGAGCCCTCCAGAGCAATCCAAACTATATTATTTCACAAACTAGCCCATAACAGGCTTTAATCACCAATTTGTAAAAGCTGTATTATGAGTGTGGAATTTGTGAATTAAGTTGTAACCAGATGCAGGTCTAACCCACAGAACATATACTCCAAAATGTTAATCTCAAACATAAGGGGAAAAATCCTATGAAGTAACATGGTCACCAGACTGAACACCAGACTGTCTCAATGCTACAAAACAGTCCAATGACCACTGTGCAGTCAGGCCAGTAAGGCCACTCTTACTTGGGGGGGAGATATATATATATATTTTACAAGACACACAGTACATACAAAGACGGTTTAGAATTCTGATTTAAGATCTATTTTCACTAATAACCATAATTGTTAAGGAAGCATCATTTAATTAGAGTGCTTGTTCATATAATTAAAACTTTAAAATAATGTAATGATACATTAAAGAGACACAAAATACGTACACACCCATTGGAAAAATGAGTTCTACCATTCCACAGCACATATGCCCAGCTTACTGTAGGTAGATTCAGTAAGCAACACAAAGGCTTGAAATATCTCATGTGCAGTAAACTCTCATTATCATCAAATTCATTCCAATCTATAACAACCCCATAAGACAGTAGAATTGGCCACATAGTCTCCAAGGCTCTACATCTCTATGGAAGCTGACTGTCACATCTTCATTCAACAAGATGGTTGGTGATTCAAACTGTCAAACTTCCATTGAACAACTTAGCACATGAACACTATGCCAGGAGGGCTCTTCTTGTGGTAGGCCAAAGCCAAAGAATTATTCTATTTGCTTTGATATCCAACTGCAAGCCATCCTTTCACGAAATGCTCTTACTGTCTCTCTTCAAACATAGTGTGCCCCTCAGCTGAACCTTTTATCCTGAGGAATACTTACCATCTTTCTGATTTTGTAAAAGACAAAGAGTTTGGAATAGTTTTTTCCCCCTAACTCTGAGTTAGATTAAAGTGACTTCTTTTAGTTTAACTGGATAAATTAATTCAATCAAATATCTTAGCCCCATTAAAATTGGACGTTTTGCAATGAGGGTTGCAGAGTGGATTGTATTTGGGGGTAGGGGGTAGGGTTTGGGGAGGTGCGGGGGGTAG